TGTGTAAAATGTATGCAAAATGTCCCTTAAAAAAATGAAGGAAACCATTTGCTCTTCCTGAATTTACACACATGGTTGAGTGACAGCCTCTTCAGCTGAGTTCCTCACAGTCTGCACCACATGTCCATGAACTTCTTTGAAGTCTTCCGTTACAGGAGGTGCTTGTGATGCCGTAGGTAGATAAATCGGTGTTTGTACCAAGTTCCTGTCTACAGTTTCCTCCTCTCGCACACACAAACTGCTACTTCAGTTGAAATATCAAACCAGAGGATTCAGCACACCAAGGGAGCTCATAAAAATCAGTGAAACCAAAGACTTAAGGGCCATCTCACCAGGCCTGCAAGCAACACAGTTCTTCTATCATGGTTGACAACATCGTCACAAAGCCTCTTGGGTTAGTTTTGATCGTCGTAGCTCACATGGTATTCAACGGTAAGCTGTCTTCTTTTGGTAGTGGATGTTTTAAACTTAAAGACATCAGAGGTTTTGTGGGTTTTCACCTGCTAGAGGTTAATTTTTTCTTCCCTTTGTTACATGTTATTATGCCCGATTGGATGTTTGTGTTTGAGTTATTAAGGCATCGAGACATCTTTGTAATCTTGTGAAATCTTATAAGATATTTACAGTAAAGCTCACTGAGACACTGTATGTAAATCAGGTAATACAAATGAATGGTTTCTAATAGTTTGAAACGCTGTTTTAAAAAGTCCACTAGCGTTTAAATTAGGCCTATGTCTTTAAATTCTTCCTTTTGTACAGATTCCGGCTTATAATAAGTATAGTCTGTAATAACAGACAGAATACAGTGTTAGGGACAGTAGTTACACAACTTGAGCAACCATTGTGATATACAGGAAGCATCCTAAATGTTTTATTCAGAGTCAGGACTTTTACATCCATAACATACTTTATGTCCTCACATGCCGTGGAAAACAGATTATGAAATACAGTGGAAGGATTTGAAGTTTCCAGGCTGGGCCGTAAATTGTGAACAGAAATGTGATGCTTTAGTATTAATCACTTAAGATTTACTTAAGATTATTGGCATATTAACAGCTAATAAAAAATGCACATATTACACATTGCTTATACATATTCTTTTCTGTATGCAAGAAGAAAATCTAACAAAATATGTTAGCCTCACATTTCTTGTACATTTTAATTAGTCTGAAACTAATTTGATTATTTATGGCACATTTTATAGGAATTAGTTGTAAGTCTACCTCTATTTAGCTACATGTCTGTATATCCAGCCTACTAGTAATAGTTATAGCTGAAATACATATAATACATTATTTATTATTACATTTAATACATTTAATGTAATTTAAAGGTAGTTTAATCACATTAAATCACATTAATTCTACTAAAGTCAAAAGCTGAGAGGGCAGTTACCGACACTGCTGTTTATGATAGCAAGGTTTTTACTCTGCTTTATGAATTGAACTACTTCCTCACTTAGATATGATAACAGCTTGATGATGACAGCCTGAGACCAATAATTTAGTTTTAGCCTTTGCTAAAGCTAATAATGGCTATCTCGCCAGTTAACTTTCACTTGAAATAATGTTAGCATTAGCTCTGTGTGTCGCTCTGGCAGGTAATGCAGTAGGAGTAATGAATGAAAGGTTGTAGAGCCCACAGATTAACAAACCGAGAGCAGTTACTGCAACCTGGGGAGGAATACAAAGGCAGAGAGCAATAATTATACAGCCAGTGCAGCTTCGTTTATAGCCCAGTTTGTTAGTTACAAAGTTTTGCTTTTATATGACAGAGCTTCTAATGATTGCTTTACTCATACACATCTCTTGTTTTGTCTCCGTACAGTCTCCAGCCAAACGAATTTCACCGGTAACCTTGGGTCCGACATCATCCTTAGGTTCAAATTTATGTGTAATGTCAGCCTAAAAGAAAGTAGTCATTTGGGGGTTTATATAGGCCTAAGCCCAACAGAAGGGCTAAAGATTGCTCAGTACACAAAGGGCATAGGAGGATTTAAGATTGACCCTAAAAATAAATCTGTATCTTGGAAAATTATGAATCTAAGATTAAATGACAGTGGAAGTTACTGGGCCAGTTTGTTCGACTCAGAACCCCCCACAGAAAGTGATAAGGTGCAGCTGGTCGTCCAAGTGGAGAACAGAAGCACCACCACAGGTAGGCCTCTCTATGATTATAAGCTACACTACATCGGATATTACACCAATACAGATCAATATGACAGGAGGAAACTTTGTCCATCTGTGACCACAAGAAGACAAAACCTTTTGATTCTGTAAACAAATCTAGTTCATTAAGGTCGGTGGATTTACACACATTACAAATTTAAAGTCATTAGCTACATGCAACTTATTTGTTAAGGTGACTTTCTTTTAACTTTTTCAGATGAACAACAATGTGCTCATTTACTGTGTTCAGAGATACCCAGCGCCGACCACCTTCACTTCCTCTGTAAACAGAGAGAGAGAGTTTGTTTGTCTCATTGTGTTGAGTGCATATTTACCAGTCCTATAGGTCCAGTATCTTTTATAGGATAAGGCTAGTTGTATTGTATGTGTTTCTTATTGTCAACAAAGCAAACAAAAAGACTTGAATCATCAATGAAGTGAGCTTGCTAACATGTAAAGCTGATATAGCTTCATATTTATAGTTTCATAGAGGTCCATTGTTGCACTGGGTGACATCCCTTTATTATGTGCTCTGTGGATATAATCTTCTATCATGGTACATGCAACACTGATATATGCACTTTTTTACCCTACCTTATCTCATGCACACACACACACACACTCAACATGTGGACAGGATGAGCTGGAGATCGAACCACCAACGCTGAGATGGATTAATGGACATCTCGTTCCACCTCCTCAGCGCCCACTAGAGTTTCTATTAAGAAACTATTTATGGAAAACATTAACACACACTGCAAATAAAATACCTGACAAAGGTATTGAAAAAACAATAATGCCATAAAGCAGTCCTGCTTATTGATTTGGAATATTGACCACAAAGGTCTAATGCAATCAGAAATATTAAAATGATAAAGACCACAAACCTACAAATCTACTGGTATATTGTCTCATATCATCAACATAGTTTAATACTGTATAATCAATCATCTCCATGACACCACCCATTGATTTCTGAAGGGCAGTTGTGAACTCAGTATGGTCGGCTCTGGCCGTTACTATCTTGGCAGTCCTGACTCCGCCGGCTCCTAGCTAATCCAAAAATGGGCAAATATGTGGAGCGTGGGTGGAGCTGAAGGGGCTGAATGAAGCCTGATTACTGAAAACAGCCGCCTGTGATGGCACCCACCTGTCACTTGAAGCGGCCATGTCCTTAATCATACATAACCATTGACAGTATATATAACATCCATCTTTAAGCCTTTAATTTAAACCAGTGAGTTATGTAAAAATTCACCCTCCGTACAGTTATAGAGCGTTAGAGACCAAAACCATTTTTTGTACCAGGCTGTAAACATGTGATGTAAATTTGGGCATTTTAATCTGAGGCTTTATGGAGATTGACTCACTTCTGTAGCCGGTCTCAAGTGGCCCGTTTGCGATACTGCAGTTTTTGTCACTTCAGTAAAGTCACCCCTGAATACAACTGCTGCTGTAAGATACTTATATTTAGCAGGTGCACTGTTTGTTCACTTTCTTAGCTTAGCGTGTGAGCGTGCTGTTATTTGCCACTTAGGACTAAACACAAAGTACAGCTGAGGTTGACGGGGATTTCATTAGTTATGCAGGTGTTAAACCAAAGTTTATGACATTTCACTCTAAACCACAAATGTCAAGCTATTAGTGGCTTTTTTCCACATATATTTTTGTGAGTATTTAAAAAGATTCACATATTTAAGAAGGAATTTACTTACAAATGGAAGTCAGAAAATAGTGAGAGATGGACTAATGTATTGTTTGTCTTTTTCATGATTGTTGACGATAAGGAAAATATCAAATAATGATTACTTAGAGCTGCTACACCTTCTTATCGGCCCACATCAGAGATGCCATTTGGCACTCCACAGTGTATTAGTGTCCATGCTGGTTATAGGCTCATGATTAGTTAGTCTTATCTTTACTGCCTACTTTATATCATATAATAAAATATGATTATACTGCATTAATTGTACTGGAAAAATATAGTCAAATGCTACAGTTTCTATTGAGATATATACGGTAATTCAGTATATTTTGAACAATTATTGCCATGGTACTACTGAGTGTATATTTTCATAATTTCCTTTTAACTCCTACAGTTCCTCCTTCTCAGAGTAGCACACCAATACCAGACAGTGGAAGTTCCTCTCTCATCGTCACTGTCCTTGTGGTTTCACCTGTAGTGCTGCTGGCTGCAATACTACCAGGTTTAATCTGGTGTCTCGTGAGAACCAAAGGTACAGTAGTGAACCTTGCTTTCCTATATCCTTCTTGATTCACTTGTCTACCATACCTGATAATTCATGGTTCTCAGGGATATTATTTTGTGTCAAAATATTGACTTATTGACTTTTAATACCTGAAATATGAATTTCATCTTATTTTCATTCTTTACTCAGCTGAATTTTTGAAATTTAAAATATAATCTTTATGTTTGACCTGATAAACAAAGACATTTTAATCCAAGATTGGATGTTAATTATCACTGGGATTCATTTAATCCCAGAACCAGTTCACATTTAATCTACAAATGATCTGTTTTGGACAATAACAGTTAATAGTATTTTCTACATTTTTCAAGCTAACAAAGTAAAGGTGAGAAGAATAATTGTTATTCTGTGGAAAAAATGTGCAGTTGTGTGGTAAGATGCTCAAAAATGCAAACCAGATTGCAGTTTCATATCCTTTTGATACATGTGATGATTCACTGCTTTTGAAAAGAAGTCTTCCTTCAATGCATGCAAATTGAAGTGTGCCTACTATCACAGAGGGGTGGGTGGAAAAAAACAACACTTGCATTATTTGTTCACTATTACCAATGCGCTTTCACTTGATGACAGAGATAAACCCCTCTGGCCTACTTTGAGTAGGAACATTTGCTCTTTGAAATATTTTGACATCCCCCGTGACCTCAGAAACCACACTCGATGATTTCCCGTACGTGTATACAAATGCATGCTTTTGCTGACTGTGCACTCCTGTATCATGTCATGCTAACCCGGTCCAACCGTTGTCCACAGATAGCGCTGCTCAAGCAAGGTTATGAACAACTCAGCAAACTGTCAGATGGTGGAGATAAACTGTACTCCTCTACATCTTGTTGATGCCAGATAATAAAGAAAACTTCCTTTTATCTGTTTCAAGATTGTACCAGTGGTGCATATTTGAGATAAAAATAAATGTTTGTTGCAATGCTATGACCTTAAACCTGATTAATGTATTAATACACCTACTTAAGAAACCACCTCTACACTTTGTAGCTTGTTTGTTTATTTTGTGCAAAGGCAGAAATATAAAAACAATTTGTAGGTTTATATGCTGGACAAACTGTACGCCTCGCAGCGTCTCTAGCGATATCACAGATATGGTCGCTAAGCAAAGGTAATAGCAAAGGTTTTTATACATGCATGAGGATACAAAAACCTGGCAAACACACTTTGATGAAATAAGTCCAGGAATTACTTCAATATTTATCTTCTCATGTAATAACCTGAATTAACGTATTTGCTAAAACCTCGGACCTCAGCTCTGTTCAGATATACTTCCCTTTGACTAACTTTGAATGTACAGACTTCATGACAAAACATAGATGTTGATCAGTGGTAAATCAAATCCACACATCTTGCAGTGATTAAGGGGATTATTTGCCTGCCTGACTCAATATTTCACCGTTTCTGCTTCTTATACAGACAAGCAACAGCAACCATCACCACCACCACCACAACAGAGCTCTAATCCCACAACTCAAGTAAGAGAACACACTCATCTTTCCCCGTCTTTAAATATGCAAATGTCAAAGCATTCAAAACGGTAATTCTTAAACTTGACTCTGGCTGTCTTTGCAGGAAACACTTGAGGCGTCCAAGAATGTGCCTGGACAGTCAGTAATCTACAGCGTCCTGGACTTTCCCAAGAGACCTCCAACAATTTTGGAGATAAACCCAAGTGATACAGAGTACGCTGCTGTCAATTATCTCCCAGAAAAGAGAAGTGTGTGACATGCAGCTCTTTGCAAAGCAGCTGGTCTTCTTTGGTTTGAGTGCAAGATGACTTATATAATCTTAAAATATATTTCTTGTAAAGTATGATAAATACTTTTCATAAAACAATAATGAACCCTCTTAGCCTGTCAGCTCTTTACAATAATGAGCAGAAGAGTTTAGAGGGGGAGAGTCACTGTTGCTGCATGGGTCGTAAGCATATGTAGGTGTCACTTTGTTCTTAGTGGTCTCGAGATTGAAATGTTGAGACAGTAGCTGTGGCAAACCACAAACCTACACGATTTACAGTAGGAACTTTTCGATTTATTTTGGTTTATGTTTGCTCTTTATTTGTCTCAGGATCATCTGGCCACTAAACCCTTTAAGTCTGGTGTGATTATGTGTTTTTGTTATTGTTAACAAATGCCATAAAAAGACTAAAACCAACAACGAATGTATCCTACTAGCATTTCCTGTGCATCCAGAGTCTGATATATCTTATTCCTCTGTGGCGCAGAGCTCCATTGTTGCCCCCAAACTACCAAATGCACATTATTGAGCCACAAAGTTCAGACATGTTCCTTTATTATGATGAACGCACTGTAGTTTGATTTAAATCCCACATTAACCATCCTGCTGCTGTAAATACTCACTGGAGCACCAAATGTGTATTAATACTCCACTAAAGATGCACTATTTATTCCTGTTTGAGTTTTGTTAGTCTTTTCACGGGATTTGTTGAAAATAAAAATCTAATCAGGGCAGGCTTATCCTTTAAGCCACCTGTGGCTAAAATTGTCTCCAGATTGAGGGTGTAAAGGGATGGCAGATGTTATGATAATCATTCAGGCAATCAGAGACCATTAGTCTTCAAAGCTCAATGACATTTATATCTGACAAGAAATTTTGTGCTTTACTGTCATGACAACTTTGACTTGTTTATTAATATTTGTATCTTCTGCAAGTAGACGTAATATCTTTACACACTCCTTGAGTTTCAGGTTTAGTAAGTAGTTGGGTACAGTTCATCTTTTCTGTCTGTGGTTTTTTCATCGTTGCATTTATCACAGTTTTGACTCATCACTTTTCCGATGTTAAAATAAACAAAACTAAGAATCTTAAGTGAAATGAAACAGTTTTAGGAAATGGAGACATTTTATTTATAGATTAAAGTTCTGCTACCACCTCAACAGTACTGTATGTTCACAGATAACATTTGTGATTTTTCCATTGACTGTAGAGTGACAGTTTGACGCTGTCACACCAGTTTTATACAAACAAAACAACTATCTGACACTATCTCGCTACCATTTTCCACTGCATGTCCTCTCTTTTTTCTGGCAGGTGCTTATTGATGTTTTGATATATTTGACAGACAAAGTATTGATTTATGTTCTCAATGCCACATATTGATATTGATTAATGTGTGTTATGCGTGTATTATGTAAACTCAACATATGTTCACCTGCGACAGGCAAGCAGGTTGATTATTCAGCCTGGATGTTGGTTGTTACTCAGAAAGGAAAATAATCTGCCAAGCTAGATGATGATGATGATGATGTGTTTTTTTGTTGTGGGTGCAATAGCACACAACTGTACAAAGACTGAAGTCTTCTTCTATGCTCTTATAGTCTTGTTGGTAAAATAGCAAATAAGCAAGTAAGTTTCTTGTCCTGTCAGGTGTTGTTATTTCACAAACTACTTAACTGTTTCTTTAAATGTACACATTATTTTTGCAATGAATGTCGAAATATAGCAATAAACTTTATTTTT